ATTATTATCATTACTATTATTATCATTATCATTATTATCATATTATTATCATTATCATTATTATTATCATATCGTCATTATTGTCATTATTATCATTGTTATCATTATTATTATCATTATTATCACTATTGTCGTGGCTGTTATTAGGAACTTTTGCTTATTCAGATTTGTAAAAAGATAAAATAATTACTTTTTGTGAAGAAAAAACGATATCTCTCATAATTTCTATTTCATTTTATCGTAATTTATACCATATTAAAATTTTCAAACATGAATTAAATCGTTACTATGAATATTGTAATTATCGTAGTAAAGTTACGTTGATGTAACGTGTAACTGTTGAAAGGGAGCGAAACCTTTTAATTTTCTAAATGGATTAACAAATTTTTATTTTATTCCCCTAATAATTTAACACATATAAATAATTAGCATGAAATAATTGTGAATTCTTACTCATTCATACATTAGCAATGTGATATATCAGTTCATAAAATGTTATGGAAAATTTCAGAAGGATGAAATTAAAAAAGATCTTGCACGTTTTAAAATTAAAATAATCAACGATGAAAGTATTATATGGTCAATGAATTGCAAACCACGAATTCAACGTGATTTATTATTAGCAATTGGTGGATGGGAAAAGAATGGACCAACAAATATCGTTGAAATATTGGATATTAACGATAATAAATGGAAACGTGTAAAAACATTTGAGGATGATCGTCGAGTAGCATACCATGAAAGCATTGTTATTGATAATGTAAAATTTTACTATTAAATGTTAAATTATTAATAAATTTATTCAAATTAATAGTTGAAAATAATACAATAAGGATTAATTTTAACTTGTAAAAGAATGCAATTTTATTATGTTGTTTTTTTTTTTATTTCAATCAAAAATGATTTATTTTTACTAATTTATGCGTATAATTTGCATATTTAAATGATGTAAAATTCAATTGTTTCTAAAAATTTAAATTTTAAATGTTAATTTTAGAAATTGTACATTATTGGTGGTTTCGAAGGAACACAATATTTCAATACAGTACGTTGTTACGATAGTGAAACAAAGGAATGGTGTGAATTAGCTCCAATGCATTATGCACGGTAAATTTTTGCATATAACTGCATAAACTCATCATATATTAAAGTATATTTATGATAAAAATGATATATTAAAAATGTTAATCAAAAAATACACTTTATATTTACTTGATAATCACAATACTATCTTTAAATTTAAGTAGCTGTTTTATTTTATTTGATCTTTTTTTTATTTATTTAATTTTTTCTTAATTCAATCTATATTTCAAATTTTCATCTAACTGAATTACATCTAATCTGCTCTTTTTTAAAAATCTATTTAAATCTCTTTTCATAAAAGAATCAATAATTAATCAATTAGTTGTAAAAAAAAAATTGTTATAAAATTGTTAAATATCATACAGAAATTAATTTCGTTTCTTGTGCTTAAAACTTAGTAACGAAAGTTTAAAAAATATTAATTGAGAAAGTTAAAAAATAATGAAATTTCCATAGGTGCTACATATCAGCGTGTGAAATTAACGGTACAATTATTGTTGCCGGAGGTTCAGATGGTAGATTGAGACTTCGAACTGCCGAAATATATGATGCGAGCAAAAATCAATGGACAAAAATTCGGTTAATGCAATTTTTTTTTTTAAAACTAATTAATTTGTTTTTCACATTATTTAAAGTGAAAGTTTGTTGAAAATTCTCAAATTAAATTACAAAATTTGAAGACAACTGAGGTGTAATGATGATTTCGAAGAATTCTCAAATTTTAATTTATTTCGAAATTTCAATTCTTTTAAATTTCATTCCAGAAGTATGATACAACGACGGTCAGATGCAGCAGCATGTGCTATGGGTGGTAAAATGTATGTTGCTGGTGGATATACCGGTGAAATAGTATTACAAACGGTTGAAATGTACATACCGGAAATGGATATCTGGACAGAAATTGCACATATGACCTCACCAAGATCCGGTAAGTATCTCTTCCATCATGAGTTATTTATTATAAAATAAAATTTAATTTCTTAAATTAATTTTTGCAACTTGTTAAATTTAACATTACAAGGAAATTTTTCATCATTTTTGTTCCCTGTGAATATTTAACCAAAAAATGATACTATACGTAAGCCTAAAAAATGTTTCAGGCTTTTTTAATTTAATTGATAATTTTATAAAAGATACATTTGGCTAAACTTATGGCTAAATTGTTTGTTAATCAGTTGTTGTAAGGAAAATTAAATATCTATTTAGGCTTTGTATAATGAAAACAAAATAAAATCTTTGAAACTGCTTAAATACAAGGCCAGAAATTATTTCCTTAAGGCTTATCACATTTCTAGGCTTGGCATGTGCGGCAAATACAGATTTCATGCTAATTGCTGGTGGATTCGATGGTTCAAATCGTTTAAGCAGCGCTGAAATCCTTCGAATTGGAAGTGCGCATACTGTAAACGTTGAACCAATGCCAATAGCACGGTTCGAAATTTTTTGAAATATTTCAAAAATTTAATCAATTTTTTTCTCAAAGCTTTTATAAAAATTGAAAATTATATAAATATTAACGAATTATCAACAGTCTTTCCTTAACAATAAATGAATAATTAAAGATTTTCATTTCTTTTCCAATTAACAGATGTTGGTAATTTAAATCAAGTTTAAAATTTGGTAGGCAAAAAAAAAACGACTATATTAAAAGCAGTAAAAACTTTCTATCCTTTGTCTCATTTCATCTTAAATATTATTATAATTTGTTAGTATCAAGTTGTAAGTTGAAAATGTTGGCTTAAATTAATCATTCAAATTATTTTTCTCCAATTTTTTGCTAAAATTTATTTGTTTTTTAAGCTTAAATTAACCAATAAATTAGTTTCATTGAATTTTTTAGGTCAAATTTTGCAATGTGCAGAATGGGACAATATTTCTATGCAATTGGCGGTTACAATACAATGGTAACTAAAACGGTGGTACGTTTTGATGGTAAAAAATGGGAACAAATTTGTGATATAACACTTGCGCGTAGCGCTTTACGTGTGGTACTTCTGAAAGCGTGGCCTGACCCGATTCAATTACTTCATGATGCAAGTGAAGATTCAAAAGATGAGAATAATTCTTTATGTAATTTGGAATTTTTAACATCTCAAGAAACTAATAGTTTTGAAATAACTGCCGCAAGTGACAATTTAGATTGAATAATTAGCAAAAAATATATGATTTTAATCAAAATTTTGAATTGAAGAAAGTGAATTTTTTATATGTCATAATTTCGATAATGATAATAAATATTTGCAATGTAAGTATGATATCAATTAGTTTCGTTTAACATTTTATTTTTTCATATGTTTAATTAATGTTCAAATTATTAATATTTTTAAAATTGATGCTACAAATTTTTGATATGTCTGAACAGATTAGGCAACTTTTTTTTTGCTAATTTGAATTGATTATTTATTAGTTTCTTAGTTTGAATAAAAACTTATCAAATTTATTTTTCAAAATTTGACAAAATTTTTGTTGTATGGTTGAAAATTAGAAAAAAATTATAAAGCGTACTTTGAAAAATAAAATAAAAAGGATAGAAATACAGTGACAGAGTTTTAAAAAATGTGCAGAGCGGAAGAATATAATGAGGACCATTTGTGGGCCTAAATGCTTAACCAAATCATTTGAAGCCACAAAATTATAACGAATTAATTTACGACATCTGCAAGAGGCAATCAAAGATATCAATTACACAAAACTTGATTCACATTTTTTAAACTTTACACCATGTTAGGAATTTTTAAATAAATAGGTAAATTTGATGTGATGAAACGTTATTTAATTTTATTGAATTACTAAAAATTTCATTCAATAATTCAATAGCATTTAAAAATTTTTATCTCGAAATTTAATTTTTTACTAAAGAAACATGCAGTGTACAACAGAAAGTGAAACAATTGAAAAATTATCGAATCAATGCAAAAGTAATTCAAATTTTTCATTTTACTATTATTTTAAACCGATATTTTTCAGCAGAAACAAAAATCAGGTGAAAATTTTTTTGATATCAAGAAATGAGATTAAAATAAAAGTTTGTTAAATTAAGATTAAATTTTCGTACTTCTATCGTTATCTTATGATAATTTATTTATTTGATCATTCAAAAAACACGTATTACAAATAAAAAGAAGGAAATTTCCTTTTGAAAACATAAATCTTCTTGAAAAATTGCCAAATCTATGGAAATTGATTATGTTCGTCCATTTGTAACAGTTTATTTACTCCATGCCAAAACAAAATCGAAATTAATTAATCTTTCTTTTTTTACACAAGTTCTTTTTTTAAATACTAAACAAGAAATATGTCCGAACAAAAAATCTATATGACCTTATTTAAAGAAATTTTAAATAATTAACAATTTTAACTAGTTATGCTACACTTATTTGATAAATAATATTTGGTGAAATGATGAATTATTTGTAAAAATTTATGTTAAATCAATAAATCAATTAAAATAGTTTCGAATTGCTATTTTTAAAATTAAAATATCGAAGTAATAAGTATGTAAGATTTTTTGGAAGTTTTTAACGATGTAAAAAAAAGAAACTAAGAAAGAGAAAGAAAAATGAAAGGGTGAATAACTTCCTCATAACATTTTCATAAAAACTAGAGAAGGTTAAAAAAATGAAAAGAATGACAGTTGTTAAAACAATACTTTAAATGTGCTTATATATCTGCTTAAATTTATTCATCAATTATTAATTTTTTTAATTATTAATTTTTTTAATGATAGACTGATTTTGATATTTTTAAATTAATCCATTTTTATCTCATACATCGTCACTTAAA